CCCCCCGGCCTGCCGATTGATCATTCTGGTAAGATCGGGGGCCATGGGGGGGTGCCCCCCACCCCCGATCACGTGCGTACGGGCGCGTCGCAGCGCCGCGGTCCGTGCCCCTCGCCTGGGCGCGCTGGTGAGTTCCCCATCTTGGGACTCAATCGCGTTGTGCATTCGTGTTTGCCTTTTTTTTTTTTTTTTAAGTTCCCAGTTGGCCGTATTCATCGACATCTGAAATCTAGGACAACCAGCCACGGACGTGTGGGAGCGACCGCCGCTGTGTACAGCGCAGCCATCCTGGAGTACCTCACCGCTGAGGTACGGGGGTGCCTCTGCGTGTAATCTGGAGAAGGTTTGGGGGTTGTTGGGGGCCCCGGGGGGGGGGGAAGCGAGCGGTAGAGGGAAGGAAAGTGATGCAAGAAAACTCGCAGACCCGAAGCGGCGGCGAGACGGGTGCGGACGCTAGGGGGAGCTCAGGGGAGCCCACCCAGCCCGGGTCTGCTGCTCTTGGAATTGTAATTGCGTGCCTCCTGAATAGCGTTTGCAAATCCGGCCCATTCAGGTAGTGGGAGGCGAAGGCTTGGGTATGGATTTGCATTCCTTAAGGGTTGATTGTGGGCTTTAGTTCTTGGCAGTAGGATACCCGGAAGACCGATGGGATTCTGCCTTCTAGGTACTTGAGTTGGCAGGAAATGCATCAAAAGATTTAAAGGTAAAGCGCATTACCCCCCGTCACTTGCAACTTGCTATTCGTGGAGATGAAGAATTGGACTCGCTCATCAAGGCTACCATTGCTGGTGGTGGTACGTAATTTACAGCAACTTTTAAGTTCCTTTAGAAAAAGGGCGGAAAAAAATCTTTTAATTTTCATTAGGTTTTTAGATGGATACGTGGGATCTGGTTTATGTAACTTTTTCTTTATATTAGAAGTTGGTATTTCTAAAAGACATAGGTTGCATCATAAGCTGTCTTGATCTCATGTATTGTGATTTTAAAATGTAGATACAGTGAAAAATAGAATTAATCCCTGTCACTCTCCTAGGTGTCATCCCCCACATCCACAAGTCTCTTATTGGGAAGAAAGGACAACAGAAGACTGTCTAAAGGATGCCTGGATTCCTTGTTATCTCAGGACTCTAAATACTCTTAACAGCTGTCCAGTGTTGGTGATTCCAGTGGACTGTATCTCTGTGAAAAAACACAATTTTGCCTTTTTGTAATTCTATTTGAGCAGGTTGAAAGTTTAATTAGCTTTCCAACCAACCAAATTTCTGCATTCGAGTCTTAACCATATTTAAGTGTTACTGTGGCTTCAAAGAAGCTATTGATTCTGAAGTAGTGGGTTTTGATTGAGTTAACTGTTTTTAAAAAACTGTTTGGATTTTAATTGTGATGCAGAAGTTATAGTAACAACATTTGGTTTTGTACAGACATTATTTCCACTCCAGTGGATAAGCTCAATAAAGGTCATATCCCAAAGTAGTGGCTTTAAACTTGTTTGATTGTAACAAACTTACTTCTTTTGAAGGTCTCATCATAATAAGAACTAAGTACATCTACTTAGAAATTAAACAAGTTAATTTGTAGATAAAGCCAGATAATCCAAGCACAATTTTAAAATACTTTATAATAGAACTGTTAGAACATTAGATGCTGGAGTAGAGATGGTTGGTAGGTGTTTGTCCAGTGGCCTATTGGCCATTTGTGACAGGTAGCGTTTTACCAATCATCTGACTAGTGCACCTGGGCAGGCGGGGAAGTCCTGAATATAGCCACCTCTGCAGTACAGATGGTCTTGTAGACTTGGTGCACTGCTTGAAATCAAAATACTAAGCACGGGTATACTGGTCCCTTTTTAAAAACAGATTTGAGATTCCTACTGTGTAATGGTAGTAGTTGAATAATAGCATAACTTGTAAGATTTGATGCTGGGTTGGGTCAAGTGGTTCATTTGACACTGGGGTCAGGCAAGTTGTATAGGTTTTAAATTTATGAACATATCAACACCTTCACAGGGGCCACAGATTGCACCTAGTTGCTCTTTCAAAGAATTCGTGGGCATTTCTAGACAGTTGAGTTGCTCCCAGAGGTGACCCGGTGTTTCCCTGAGGCGACGGTAAACACGGGAGGTGCCGGTTACTTGGGTGCCGCTCTAGTTCTTCACCGGAATTGCAGATTGCACGCGAGTGCGCCGGGTCGGCAGGTGGGGAAAGGGGTCAGGGTCCCAGCCCGCGGGGCGCGGGAGCGCGGGGCCCCCGGCGGGCGGG